CTTCTCAAAATTAAGGTTCTTCTTCTTCGATTCTAGTTTGTATGTCCCCCTCCAATATTAAGATTTTGTATCAAATCGCATTAGATAAATATACTTTAAGAATGTTTTTATTTTTATCAAGGCATGCTCTCTTAATTTCAAATTGATTTGAAGGATATAGTTAAAATTAATAATTAGGAAGCAATTTTGAAGTGTTTCCACCTAGATCTCCATTTAATTTGTAGTCTCCTTAATTTCGTTGTTTGATTTTTGTGTAAATTATTAAGGTTTTAGTAGTACATGGATCAGGGTATTTTTTGGATATCTATTGGGGTTTTCTAAAGAGGAAAATATTGAATTACTACTTTGGCTCTAACTTAAATATATATTTTGTTCAATAGGTATTGTTGTTGTTTGTTGAACATAAACAGAGGTACAAAAAATTAAGTATTGTCATTTACTTAATTTTTCTTCCTGAAATGAGAGAATTTTGTTGAAGTACAAGAAGAAGAGGGCATAGGAAATAGGTTGGACATGGTCCGGTTCGGTTCTAACGAGAATCGAATTGAACTCGAAATTTTCGGGTATTTTATAAGTAAAACCGTCGGATCCAAATTTAATTATGGAACCGTTCGGGTTCGGTTCGATTTAGTTTCCAGTTTTCGTATATAATTAATTTTTTTTATATTTACAAAGTTACTATATTAATTCAACTAATGATATGTTCAATCCTAATTCTTACAAAATAACATAGTCCAATCTTATGTGTCTTTTGTGTCTTTCTTTGCTAGTTATTCATAGATTTAATTGTTAAAATCACAACAACAAGAAGAAGATAGCGAGTTTATAATAATTAAGAGATGCGTTGTCGAGTTTAATTTTGATTTCTCCGGAACGGTAGAAACGACAATACGTCAAAGTAATAGATTTGGATAAATTTAGGTCAATTTGATTAAATTGACTTTGAATAAAAAAGTAGAAATAGGAAGATCATATTTTTAGGTTTGAGCTAAATTAACTAGTTATCAAATTTATTTAGAAAAAAATAAAATAATTCGGCTTATTTAAAATAAATTAATTAAAAAAATTAGGAGATTTGGTTCTTATTCGATTCTTCGGTTCTTGGTCTAGAATCGAGAACTAAACCGAACATGTTGATTTTCGATTCAAATACACATTCGAGTATTTGACTTAAAAAGAACCGCATCGGTTCAATTCGGGTTCGGTTTGATTCGGGAATTTTGTCCAACCCTAGTAGGAAACATATGTTGGTCAAGAAATATGACGCTTAACCCAACATTTCTCATCGTCTCCATTTCATTCCCTTGGAAACATTGTAGAGGATAAAAATGATTTCTTGATACAACCAAATCATTGCACCATCTTTATTTTAAATTAAAACCTAGAGTTTGAAAGGTGAAAAATGAAGTATTTTTAAATTTTAGTTTTTTGCATTTAGAAATGAACCATTCTACACTATTTGTAGACTAAATTTGATGTGAATATGTTTAGTTTTTTAGATTTTTGTGTAAAGTTCCCTCTTTGTTGAATTTTTGAATTATTAAGTGTTGAATTGTTGACACACATACGTGTTCGACTATAGAAATATGTCACGTTTTATCTTCGTTATGTCTATCAAGTGTATTAGTGTTCGACGACAACGTGTTGGTCCATCACTGTTCAACTCCCCTCCAACTAAATTCTTGGATCCTCCCCTGACACAAAGTATATTAATTCTTCTACTTTCTTCTCTTTTTTTTTTTTTCACGATACTATTAACATTTCTCTATGTAGAATTATGGTCCATGTAACATATATTTCTTTAAAAGAGTCACCCATATTAGCTGGCATAACAATCATATACAAAGATTACATTAGTAGAAGTGGAAAGAGCTTTGCTATCCTACTGACGAGGTTGGATTGGGCTTAAAAAAACTACAGGATATGGTTGACACATTCTCCATTAAGTTATAGTGGTTATTTAGATCCCAAAAATCTCTTTGGGCTTAGTTTTTATTGGGCAAATACTGCAGAGGGACATATCCATCACTTGCAGCTGTCCTTAATTCAGCCTCGCCTATATGGAAGAGATTGAAGAGATTTGAACAATGTGTGGAACCACACATTGCGTGGCAACTTAGGGTAGGTCAGATTACACATTGCATGGCAACTTGGGGCAGGTCAGATTTTCTTTTTGACATGATTGTAGGATGGAAGATAGTTCTTTAGCATCTATTCTTCCACACAGGCAACACACATCTGAGAGGGTGCAGGATTTATTCGAGGAGACTGGATGGAACTTTGGACGATTAATACAAGCTCTTCGACCAGTTTTGGAAAAATGGATTGTGGACATGCCATTATGTATCGACGTCCCAGATCGTATTTTTTGGAGGGCCATATCAAATGGTAGATTTACCACGAAGTCAGCATGACGGTTGATCCGCTCTAGCAAACCATCATAGGATTCATTTCTTCTCCTTTGGAACCCTACCATACCTACCAAAATCTCATTCTTCTGTTGGATATTATGGCAAGATTTGATTCCAGTGGATGCTATTATTCAGAGGAGGGTTGGCACTCGCTGGCTTCTCGGTGTCAGTGTTGTTTTGAGATTGAGACAATTACCCATATTTTTATTGGTAGCAGTATATCAGATCAGGTCTGGCAGCACTTTGGGCACTTATTTCAGATTACTATGATTGCAAGCGAGAGCATCAGACAAAGATTTCTACGATGGCGTTACTCTGGACAACTTACTTAGAGTGGACAAATTCGCATTATTATCCCTCTACTAATTTTCTAGTTTTTATAGATCAAGAGAAATGATGCAAAGCATAGGGATATCTGCATGAGATCAAGACGAATCATTTGGAAGATATATCGTATGGTCTCATTTCTTTACAATGGAGGATTATTTTGACCACTACACTAGCGTAATGACATGTAGCTTGTTTTTCTCTTTGGGATTGCTATGACC